TTGTTTGCACAGTACTACGTAAATCGCAAATTTCAGTTTTATGGGTGACTTTTAAGTCATCGACATAGAGGCAGGTCTTACCTGTACTTAAGCACTTGCATATATTGTTGATGTAAATTATAAAGAGCAATGGACACATGACACTACCCTGCACAACACCACCGGTTATTGGTCTAGGTGTAGATGTTTTAGAGTTAATCTTGGTTATTTGAAATCTGTTCGTAAGAAAAGATTTGATCCATTAAAAAGGCGATTTATAATTCCAACTGACTTAAGTCTGTTGATTAGAAGATTATGAGGTATTTTATCAAAGGCTTTCTTAAAATAGAAGTGTAGTATAATAACTAGTTTCTTCTGGTTGCCTATACGTGTGTTGTGTGATGAAATTGGAGTGAGATGAAGAATATGATGTTTAAAAGTGACGGCAGATTGATGACAGGCTCATTTATGAGTATTTGTCAGTTTAACTATCACAGTGGAGCCAGTTACTTTGGCCATACTCAAAAGACCTCATCGTCAAGCGCTCGTAAACATGTACTGTCATGATCAGGAAAATGCTTTAGTGGATCTCTCAACAGTGTTATTTCAAAACGCTAGATTGACTATGAACGTAACACTAACGTTAAAGACGCCTTTCTTTATGACTTATCACATTCAAAGTCATCTACCAAAAAGCGCAGGATAACGCCTAATGTATCTAGCTGAAGCATATTAGTTTTAGTTTAAGTAATCTTAATTTGTTTAACACTTGCTGTAGCGCTTACAGAGCTACTGTTGGTCTCATTTGTAGTAACGAAGGAGGTTTAGGCATGTGGTGAGCAAGCCTATTCAGTAGGAAACAACCTTACTAAAAAGATACAAACCAGAAAAAACAATTTAAACCATTTAAACTGTGTACTCTGAATTGAACGATCTTGATTCAGACGAATTATGACGCCTCATGACGAAATCCGAGGTTATTCGTAGATCATGAGAACGATGACTCTTTTACCAGCAACAATTTTTATGGGAACATGGGACGTCCGGACAATGTGGGAAACCTAGTGGACCAGTGAAATAGCTATGAAACTTAGGAGACAACTTGATGGTCCTCTGAACCAGTGAAGTCTATTGCACCCAATCTGGACAGAAAAAGACAGATTCAGGGGGGATAACGTTGAGCTATGATTACGAAGATGAAGATGTTCCACACACTCATGAAGATGCTCTGACGCTGTCCAAAGAAACACGAAATAGACTTACTGGGCGAGAATCTCATGTATCCAGGTTCATCAAAGCATCCTTCAAAGCAAAGAAGGGAATAACAATGAATGTTATCCAATGTTATGCACCCACCAATGATAACTACGACGACTGTAAAGATCAGTTCTAGTCGAGGCCGGAATCGATCATAGAGAAGTGCCCAGGAGAGGAACTGACCATCATGATGAGAGATCTAAACGACAAAATCGGGTATGTAGATGTCATGGGACGACATGAACTGCAGTGACTGGGATAATGGAAAGGGAATGACAAGCGATTCGCAAATCTATGTGCATTTACCAAATAGATCACAGACGGCACAATATTCCCACACAAACATATATACAAAGCCACATGAGTCTCACTGGACCCCATCACGGAGCACCAGATCCACCATATTAGCATGAGTAAAAAATCCACGAGCACCAACTTCAACGAGTCAGGAGTTTTTGAGTCGCAACAAACATCGTTATAGGGAGTGGATCTCTACGGAAACCCTGGGCTGGCTTCAAGAACAGTAGAACAAAAAGACAGCCATTGCCAACAGTTGAACGAAAACATAGAATGTCGAATGATAGGTCGAATACACAGTAGTAAACAAGCTAGGGAAGAGGAGCATAAGAGCTGACAAGCAGAAATATGTGGAGAAGCTAGCAACGACAATGGAATAAGCTGCAACAGAAGGAAATATGAAACAACGATATGACACGACGAAGAAACTGGTAGAGAGTTATAATAGACCAGAGAGACCGGTCAAGGACTAATAAGGCCAAACCAATCGAAACAGAACACAAACGCACCTTTCTATAGACGTCACTCAACCAACGATTGAAGAAATCAGGTTGTGCATCAGAGAAGTGAATAGTGAGAAAGCATCAGGACCCGACAGTATACCAGCCGGAGCACTAATGTCAGACATACCTGTGCATCGACTCTCCCTAAGTCTAGAAGGTTGTGCGAAGACAATGTTGTTGAGAAATCTACTGAATGCCCTACACGATTGTATTGGTATATAAACGGAAGAAAAGAAAGAGGAAACATTCCAGCACTATGAGGAGACAGTATTGCTTGATCATTAGTGGAGAATGGCTTTGGTAAGTCCTAAGTATTCTCAAACTACTTTAGTAATATATATACCATAGAAACACCCTTCTCGTCAAACCATACAAATCCCCTCACACAACCACTGGACAGCGTGACCATTGAAGAACTCAATGTCTATGATCCGCTTGACGAAGGCGAATCCACGTGGTTCGATGAACTGCATCCTAGGTTGCTGAAGGGATTAGCTAACTTTATTGCGAACTCTAAGTTAATGCTTCAATCTATCCGTAACCCAGGGTTGTTTATCAAAGGACCGTAAGAACGCCAAAATAAGCCCTGTCTTTAAAACAGGTACGAAACATAAACTTGGGAATTATTGACCCGTTAGCCTAACTAGTGTGGCTATTAAAATTATTTAGATTATTCGGAAGGAGCTGTTTAAGTATTTTGAGTAAAACCGGATCCTTTCAAAAAAGCAGCATGTATTTAGAATAGGTTATTCTTGTCTAACTAAATTGTTGATGACTCGTGAAAGCTGGTGCGCTCTTAAGGACCAAAAGTTATCTGTAGACGTAGCCTACTTTGACTTCAGCAAAGCTTTTGGCGAAGTTCCGCACAACCGGCTGTTATATAAGATAAGAAATGTCGGGGTTGGAGTCATTCTATAGATACGGATAAGTGGAGACTTCCTAGTTAGGCGCCAACCCAAGGTTGTCTAGCTGGAAAACTGTGCTTATTGAATATCCCGACACCTCCCTTTTTTGAAGATCCGGAGTTGGTATCTGGATTTCAAAATTTTCCGCTTCCACGTTCTCCCGTGAAATAACGTTGGGTCCTCGTAAACCATAATTACAATTAATTTGACTGTTTTTAGAACATATTGAACAGGGAATCCATTAAAACTGACCAGGCAGTGAGGATAAACGCCATTTAATTTAAGGTCATCAGAGTTCGATTCTTCTGAAATTTTGTGGCCAAATTTATGGGCAACACTATTAGATAGTGGATAACCATGATAATCAGCGTCCAACAAAACTGCATCAGGTTCTTGATTATTGTTTAATGCGTGAGATATATTTCCTGGCAAAACAAGGGAATCTCGATAATTAGATTCGTCAGGAACTTCTATTGCAGAATGATGAGGACCATTTGAAACAGCTGGGCTCAGTATACTGCCTGATTTGTTTTCGGTTTCTATGTGGGCGGGTACTGCAATAAATTTATGAGCATTTAATGAGAAATCGTCCTCCTGTGAGCCGGACAGTCCAGTGTTTGTACATAGTGTTTCGGACACAATGGTATTTGAAGCCATGACAGGGCATGTCTGTGAAATGGACAATTCTGGATCGCTGGGCACACCATGAATGACCGCTTCGCTAACATTACTGCTCGTCCAGGATTCAAAGAGGCTTTTATATACACGTCCATATGTTCTGCAGTCGTTGTCCAGCTCAGTATGCAAATGAGGAATTAATTCATCAACTTCTGGCACATCTCCGAAACATGGGAGATTTAGCAGCCGTGTGCGTAAATTTTCCGAAATATTCAACTGGTTATTTTTGAAACGCTTCTTCCGTCGGTCAAGTAGCGACTGTAATTGGTCGGGAGAGGTGACCATTTTTTGAGTCAGCACAGTAATGAGAAATAGCGTATGATTAATTAACAACCAATGTCTCCCAAGGACACTGATAATAAATCTGGATGCTGATTGGCCAAATTAATTAGGATGACTCTCATCTAATTACAGGGTTCAAAATTATCTATACCCCGTCGCCAATTGTTGTGTTTTGTGAACTGCAGATCAGAGCGAAGCAAATTATCGATCGGATCAATGATACGTAAAACACGTAAGAACGGCCTACAGTTCTGATTGGTCCCGCTTCCCTGTCTAGCCCAGCCAATTGAGTCCAGAACGCAAGTTTCAGCCTCTGAGATATGAATCATTATATTTCAGACAGCTGCCGATAAATACTTCCAAGTGTATTGTGATGCAAATCAGTCATCAAGGTACAGATACATACATGGTGAATAACACTGATCTACCCGTTGTCCAGACACACAATGACCTAGGAGTCTTTGGTAGCCAAGGCCCAAGGAATACTGCACACTGCCGTGCAGTGGCCGCAAAAGGTTTTAGAGCGTTATGGTCAATACGCAGGGCTTTACGTCATGTCGACGTTAAAATGTTTCTGACTTTGTATACAGTGTTCGTACGTCTTAAGTTTGAGTATTGCATCCAAGAGGCCAGCCTTTGCTTAAAAAAGGACAGTGAGCTTTTGAAAAAGGTTCAGTGAACAGCAACAAAGCTAATTTCCGGAATAGCGAAGCTCCCGTATGATGCTTGACTGGGCAAGCTTAACCTATTCTCGTTGTCCTATCGTAGAACCAAAGGCGAATTGATTACAGTTTTCAAGTTGCTTAGTGATAATTTTGCACTTGATAGGCTATCATTTTTGTTGTTTTCCAAAACAGAGAACTTACGAGGACATTCCAGAAAGCTTCACAAACCCAGAACAATTTATTTGTCAGCTTTCCATTGACTTTCCCATCGAGTCATCAACGAGTGGAATCCATTTCCTCAACACGCGGTTCAGCCTTACTTTATCAACTCTTTCAAAAAATGTTTGATCAAAGACTATAATTGCCAGGACTAATACAGGCCATCAATCCTACTGAACTTTCAAAACTGAAACTGATTAGGTTGACATGACAACGTTGATTTCTAAACTACCCGCTAAGTATGAGAATGGATTCTGATTATGTATATCCTATCCACGTAAATGATTATCGACTTAATGCTCATGTAAAAACAGTCAGAATAAACAGGGCAATAGCTGACAAGGTCAAAATGTGGTTCATGAATAATGAATAGATTGGCTTGTCGAGAAGCTAGAATAAACTATGTTTAGGTTGAACATGACACGACGTAACACTATCCACCACAATAGTATGACATACTGATTATCGCTCACAAATACACTGTTGCTTACATACACACTTCTTGTTCTCAATTACCTGGTGCTGTGATAAAAGAACTCTAATATATTCGCAATCTACGTCTGCAGATCACAGTAATATTCTCATTATATGCTTTGTCTGAATATACATCTCTAACTACAACACAATTGTGATTGGAGTTATCAACTACTATCAACTTTTAAACCACAATAAAGTCAAACGCTTCGATTCCTGACGATTCAGGTAATGTCCTGTATATTTTTCTTGTGTGTATAGATTATATTTAATATATTAATACATTAATTATTAGGTGTAATGGTTTTTACGTTATTTAGGAAATTGATATATTCTTGGTACACCATAGGACCATTTTAATAATCAATATATAAGGTTATATGTACTTTGTGAGATTTTCTAGATTAGCCATTTACGTACTTTGTGGTTAGACGTAGGACATTAAGGAATGACGATAAATATGTTGATGAGGTTGTGAATCTTCATCGACTGAGATGATTGGACCACGTGTTACGTATGCCTGAACACCATCTGCCATGACGCGCAATGCTGACTAGTGTGGGAAATGTTCAGAAGAAAGTTAGGGACGGCCAAACCAAAACGTGGCATCAGTGCTTCAGGTCACTAACTTGTAGTCTAAGCCATGATGGTAGATGCAAACCACTTGGTTGTGGTCCGCGTGACTATCGTAACCAATGGTTGGAGACTCTGGGTGACATGGCCCAGAATCGATCACAAAGACTTAGGTGTATACACTCTCTGTCTACCCTTAAACCGTGAGGTCAAAAATGTTTAAAACCTTTGTTCCTACGAACCAACTCATACTTCTTGGACTATACCCTTATACACAGTCGTTCTTTTATTTATTACTACCATTGCAGTAACTGTTATAAGTTGTGGCCTGTGTACCCTGTTGATGCATAACGTAGTGATACCGCCAATTAGGGAACAGTGATTTATCGACTGGACCAATGACGCATGAAACCAGTACGAGCAGCCTAGAGTCCTTATCGGTCCTGCTTCCAGCCTAGCCCAATCAGTTAAGTCTAGAACACCAATCTCAGCCTCCGGAATATGAATCGTGTATTTTAAACATACTGAGTTTATATACCAACCAGACAGACCACAACGTGCCATAAAATAAAAAGCAACAATCGTGCCAGATTAACTAACACCATGGATTTGGTGTTCATCTTGTGCTAATGATGTGTGGCAATTTGGACCGATGCATATATATGTCTAGTTCTACGTTGTAGCTGACTGGCTCTCTGGTACGTTTGTGGCTTCTTGTGGAAACATATCGAGGGTTAATTATGCATATTAGAGTAATTTACTGTAATAAGGATGAAACGCATAGCTCTTTACCATGTCATTAACATTTACTACAGAGCCAATATCGGCTACAGTTGGCCAGTCATGGTGGTATTTGTACGTACTAATTACTCCTTTCGTACTTGATTGCCAGCCGATTAAAGATTTCAAACACATAACGTTCATTTGTTTTCAACTAGTTCTACCTGCTTCAAATAAATATTTCGGAAGTTCTTAGCTGATACGTCAATTCGAATACTTTTGATTATCATAGTTAGTCAGTTAAACATACACCGCATAGAATGCGGTACGTACTTGAGTACACCAGTTCACGTCGTACATCGATAGCACAGCAGGATAACATCATTGGGATAAAACCCTGACGGGTAGAATTCGGTAAAAAGTAAACCGAAATTTCTGAGTCTGTGTCGGAATTTTGTTCAATACTAGGCCATCCGCTACTGTTTAAATGGAAGTTCGGATCTTTGTTGTTTGCCCTACATATTTTATAAGGGTTAATTGAATACAGAACAAAATCTCATTGAAAATAGTTTAACCATCGTCTAGAGTTTACGCATTATGCAGAGTTATAGAGAGACTTTTCATTTGTTATTCTACCACTACTTCGTGACAATTCGATTCAAAGTTTTTAAAAATCGAATTCATATAAACTATTGCAATGACGTGTGGGCATCAAACAATTTACGATTAGCTCATGGGCTCATATTACCTAAAGTCTGCTAAGTAACGTTATTCTCCGAATTTAAGGCAACGTGATATTTGATCGACATTTCGATTCGCGAATATTATAGGTGTGTGATCAATGATCGTGTTTACTAGTTTTAGACATTATGTCAATTATTGTACGTATTGAAGCTAACTATCTTGGTGCTTTTCTGACAAAGCTAAGGAAAGAGGTAACTAACTAAAAAACTGAATTTATCTAGCGACACCGTGAAAAAGACTAGACGCTAACTATCAAAATAGACGAAACCTACGATTTGGACGCAGATTACGTACTTAACACAGTCCGCACTGATTTTCAGAAAGAAAACGCTAACAACACAGCTTCTTACAAACACAGCAAGAAAACAGAAATAACTTATATTCATTACAAATCTATTACAAACTATTTTATCAACAAACGACTTTAGTGCAGTAAGCCGAACACATCCAACTCACAATCCAAACTCAGTTACGCATATCTAAGTGTTCGGGTTCATTCTAACCACTTATCAACTATTAGGATCTTTCAAATTTGTTAATAATAAAATTTAGGTGACTAAATTAAGAATATCTAGACCTAATGCGATGATATATCTTTTATAATGATTCATCAACTCAAACATTTTCTTGTTTAAAGTGAGTTCGTTTACATTTTCATTTTATTTCACCTCATACTTATCTACGACGATAAGATAACTATTGTGATGTTATATGAAGTACTCTTCTTGGTTTCATCTCATAATATAAGTACGTGAATGCGCTTAATTTTACTACGTCTTTTGTCCAAGTTAACGCTATTTATAATGTTGCAGATCATTAATTACTCTATTGACTTTATATGTTAATCCAATCGCCCATAAAAATTTATTCTCATGGTTACTACTATCTCTTATTCGATAATGTTGATGTTTTCATGAGCCTCTACAAATCTAAGTAACAACTTGCTAAGTCATTTAGCAGTCTAGTAACACATGCACAAACATGAAACATTAGTCAATGCAGTCCACTAAAAATTCTATACGTTTAAATTAGCTTTGTAACAACTTGCCTAATGCTGACGATGGTTTGTAATGATATTATAGATGCGGGTTAGTAGCCATGCTCCCACTAATTATAAATCACATTCTCAATGGTATACCTAATTTAGCAACAACTTTATGCAAGAATATATTACTAGTAATACGCAAAACATTTGAATCTGTTATTTTATGACACAAGTAGCAAAAACTTTTTTTAACTGAAATCACTAGGACGTATTTGAATCTATATGGATCTGTTTGAGTGGTAACAAATAAAATCGTTTTGCTGAGAAATCAAACCTAAAAACGAAGGTAACTAATGAGTAGATGTTCTATTTTGGAAGGTATATCCTAAGGTGACTAATTTATTAAAGGTATGATAGATATAACAGTTGTATTGAGGTCATTACATGAGATATAGATGCCTCCATTATTCAGTTATCAATTAGTTTTTAAAGATAAGGTATATCGATTATGTTTCAATTACAATTTAAATGCAGGTAGATGAATATAAAACTCCGCCTGTAGCTCTTCTAGCGCTACTGCCGGTCTCAAGCACGGGTAAATGAGGAGGGCCGCGTGTGGGGTCGGCAACCCCAAGCGATTTGCAAGTCTGATACGACTGATGATTGGTGGTTTAGGAGTAGGTTAGAAGAAAACCAAGGTGGCCAAACTAAAACACGTAACCAGTGCATGCAGTGACTGATCATTGAACTGATCCATGTTAACAGGTGTAGATTACCTAGTTGAAGTCCGGACAATCAATTATCTTTATTAAGGGTTAAAGACTTTAGATGACATGGATCAAAATCCTTTGCTATGGCCCATGTGCATTCACCTTTTTCTCCTCAAAGGTAGTAACTGTCTAAATTCCTCCAAAAATGTGTTTCACTAGTTTGTATTTTTCCAATCATATTTTTGATGCCCAGTCTTTTCTATTACCACGAGTACTGTGACTGCCTCTATTATTCTGGGATTTGCTCTGACGATTTTATCTTTCTGTTTTAATGGAGAATGGGAACTTAAACCAATGTACTACGTCCTACACTATGTATTTGCAACTGGCTGATACTGAAAACGTTATGAGTTGTTGTGCGTTGAAAAAGTGTTGAAATACAAGCACTTCTATCTACAATGCAGCATGCCACTATTTTGACTGCGAATGACTCGTTTAACTACTTCTCTGAAGAGTAAATCTTAACGAAAAAATACAAGTTATGAGTCTATAGCAAAGTTTTCTCTTCTTGTTTACTTATTTCAGGCAGGGTTTCAATTTTCTCTTTGACTATTAAAGAAGAAAAGCACAGGGCTTTGTGAAGGCCAAAATACAAGATCATGAGGTAAAATATGTTAATAGTTTGTTCATTCATTCATCCAGATTTTCGAGATATGAATTCAAATTCCTCGTTGTTGTATGGTTATCTCTATTGCCAGTTTTGATGTTTTGTATAAGAGTTTACTTCAGAAAGAAGACATTCTCGAAAACGGAATTATGCCGTGAAGGTCTGGTCGATAACGTATCAGTTACTAGTGAAGGAGTGGATTGGATCACAGATGAGATTTCTCATCCTAGATTATTTGACCTCAGGTATATGAAAATATCACTTTTTTTATTATTATACACAACTCTGAATATTTTAAGAACAATTAGCTTTTTCAATGGTTACTTACTTACTTACTTACTTACGCCTGTTACTCTTCGTGAAGGAGCATAGGTCGCTCACCAGCATTCTCCATCCAACCCTGTCCTGGGCAACCCTTTCCAGCTCCTTTCAGTTGTTATTTATCTTTTTCATATCCGCTTCTATTTCCCGACGTAATGTGTTGTTTGACCTTCCTCTTTTCCGCTTTTCTTCAGAATTCCAAGTTAAGGCTTGCCTCGTGATGCAGGTTGAAGATTTGCCTAGTGTATTTTCTTTTCATTGGTACTGAAAACCTATTCATGATGGAGTGAGCGAAGAAGTGGTCTCCGTTATCAAATGGATACAATTGTTGCCTGACATAAGTTCACTTTTAGATATTTAGTCTTCCAGTATGTAGTTTGTTTTTAGGTGGATTAACCAATTAGGTATTTTCTTACACCTTTACTTTATAATCCATCATTTGATATTTAGTAGTTAATCATCCAAGCTTGTGTGATTAATGTATCATCATGGTACCTGTTAGTTTAATTAACTATTCTTTTCGGGATATCCAGTAAAAGTATCTTTACTGGGAATTTTTTTTGAGCTTTCTGTGGATGTGTCAGAGTGTTGATGCCTAAACTGTCGGATGTTGTACATATATTCTATATTGCCATGACAATGGATCATCCATAAATCTATATTAATTATTAACCATCATTTCTAATGCAACGAATCTAATTTTACATTTGAGACTGTTTGATTGTTTAAAGAAGGAAACTATAGCTTGATTGACAACGAGAACAAAGTATTGAACAATGAATTCATAGTATGAATAGACATTAAGAATGAGTACAATTTCATATTTCGTTGTCATGGAATTTATTAAAATTTCTTATTTATGTATTATTAGTTATCTGTATTATTCCATTGAACGATGTAGTTCAGGAAACCATACATCAACAGAACAACTAACATCACCATAACAACAATCATACAAAATTTAGCTTTTATTAGATAATACAAAGGAACTTTTAACTTTTCTATTTCAGTGAAAATGTCTTAATCAAGGAGGATCAAATAAAAAGTAGGTTTTATTATTTATTGTTCAATAATAAACGTAATAAGAACAATGATAGTGGCTTTATTCAGTACTGGGTTCAACAAAATATTGGACTTTCATCATTTCATATCTTTAAAAGTTCCTCTTACTCTTCTTATAATGTGAAATATATCTGCATACGTATATAAGTGAAATGATCTCTATGTAGATCTCTTGTGCATAATCGCCTTCTAGATCTTATAGCAGTGCATTAAAGTAAATCACTGGAATTTGAAACAGAAGTAACTTTTGGAATGATTTATAGTGTGTAGTTTCAATGTTTGAGAAGTCGATAGTGAACTGATGAAGAGATTTGATTATTTCCAATCTGGGTTATGTATTGTCTAATAAAATATAAAATTTATTTATCTTACATGGGAGCTATTGCATTTTGCCATACCCATGCCCAATCTACCTCCTTTATCCGGACTTAGGACCTGTACTAGACACAGGGGGGCTCAAGGTGGATATCAGTCAAGGTTCAAAGAAGGGTAATGTATTCCACAAGTAGTCAGAAGCACGAACAACAACAAGCACACAACTCAAGCATATATATACAGGATAAAAATGTCCTTGGGAAACGGTACAAAATGGCATATAAAAAGAGACAATAAACCTATGACATTTAAAGTGCTCCGAACTGGGAAATACGACATGAAGATGAAAATGGGTACTTTTGGTGCGAAAACAAAAGATTAAAATTTCTAAAAAAAATAGAGTTACCAAAAAAATGCATTTATCAAATGAGTTTTGAGGATCTAATATCTCCAACAATACTGAATATTGTCAGTAAGTACAGTAAGTCGTCCTTACTGTCAATACATCTCATCAGTATTTGACAGATAATTCTGATTTAGACAATAAAAACACGAAGTTCATCAAAGTGATCTCTTTTCAACGAATTACTTATCATGCTTTACAGTTGTATACATATGAAAGTACTAGTTCTGTGAGGAAATATGAACAAGCAATAACCGCGATGATGTAATAGAAAAATTATAACACTGGATTACGTAATAGGATTATTAACAGTGGTCTTAATAAGTTAGTAACGAATTATAACATAAATGTAGTATGACGATTAAAATATTTTTGTTACAATAATGGAAGGTTATTAAAAGTCATAGTGGTATAAATAATGTATACAATCTAGTAGTATAATGTTTCTATTACATATTGATATGATGATTAATTGATTTCTTATATACGTAAGATACATGGACGATGCATTTGTCATTTCTGACGATAATTTTGAATTAGAAGATATCTTACACTCCATCAACACATGCCACCCTTCCATAGACTTCATGTTAGAAAGTTAGCGAGACCAGTCAATCTCTTTTGTCCATGCGCATATCGTCAGTATTTACACTAAAGTAAAAGTGCAAGTGGTTTTATGCAAAACGTTTAACTGGAAACTAACTTGATTCGGCAAATGCTGATGTTAATTATGAATTTCTATTGTGTAGGATTTGGGGCTTTACATGCTAACTACGTAAACAACGTTGACATTATTTCTCACATCCTTGAACACTTATATGGCATGTCAGTTATTTGTCATTTGATTTATATGCTATAAGTTACAAACTAGCCATTTGCAAATGAATGAATATAAATTGTTATAAATGAACTATAGAATAGAAATGGTGATAAGATTATAATTTGTGAACGATCTTTGAACGATACTAGAGTGACATTGAATGTCCGCCTAATAACTCGTACCAAATGAGGGTTATCCGAGACCTATTTTCTCATATCTGATTGATTCGTTCATAAATTATAGTCTCACCGAAATGTTCAGTTTGTATTGTGTGTAATAATAATGATAACAAGGTGAAATATTTAACTTTCATGTTTTTATTTTAGATGTAGATCGGATCGGTATTTCTCATGAGACACTTAGACGTCGTGCTTTGAATTACGTTCATGAAGCACGATACACTTTGAACAATTTACGCAACATTTTTACCCAATTAAAAAAAGTTAATCAAAAGGAATTGGACACTGAAACAGTTTCATCAATACAAGCATCGTTAGTTCGTTATCAACAGAATATGGAGGAAACTATTACACACTTGCAAATTGTACTTAACAAACTAGGTGAATTAGATGAATTTTCACAAATCAGAAAGAATGGCTTAAATAAGCTTTCACAGCGATTACAGGAGAAAATTCAAAAACAACAGGTTAGAATTTATTACTTCTTTATCATTTTGGAATAAGTCAAGTTCTTAAACTTGTAAAAGAAGTAAGGAGGAAAATATATATGAAGGGTTTGATATCTATCTGTCTATCTATGCTGGTGTGTGAACCAACAGCAACCATTGTGAACTGTTGTGTTGTGTGCTACTGGTGCTGACAGAAACAAGTAGTATGTATCATGGGTCGAAAGTGAAATGCCTGGTGGAAGAAGGCTGAGGAGATATGAAGAAATAGGGCGAGAATAGAAAGTGATTGGTGTGAAAGCAAAGAAACAATGAATTTTGAGACGATTGATTAAAATTTTGTAAATGACGAATCTGCTGTATGGTTCCCAAATTTGATTGATTGATTCCCATTTGTGTTCTCATTCACTACACTGTCACCCATACGACAATCTGTCGATTGCAAACTAAAACACAAATACTTTAAATTTTCCAATTTCGTTGGATATTTTGTATCAGTAAGGTATGATATCAAGCAGTTGATTACATCATCACCAGCACAGTTTGCAGGTTTCAATTCACATTCAAAAGGTTATCAGATTAGATCAAGGGAACTTACAAACACAGGTTCAGAATGTTTTGTATCTGAATCAAATTATTGACAACCATCACCATCCTTCAGATCATTATAGTGAGTAAGTAATACAGTTTTAAAGAGACGAGCACTAGATAAGGATGTCAAACCAGTTGATAAAGTAGTGAAACTTCACTAGTTGAGACGGACGGGACACGTGTTACGTATGCCCAACCACTAACTGCCCGGATGAGCGATGTCTTATGGTGTAGGAGTGGGTTGGAAGAAATCTGGAGGCGACCAGACCAAATCCTGTCACAAATCCATGAAGTCACTGACAAGTGCACTGAATCATGTTGGTAGGTGTTAACTACCTGGTCAGATCCGCGAGACGATAGCAATCGGACGTTAGAGACCTTGAATGATATGGCTCAAAATCGTTTTTTATGGTGTGCGGAGGAGCATCCACTCTTTGTATTTTTCCAAATTTCAATCTCCTTATTTCTCCTTGTCTCTTTTTTCTCTCCAAATTTATTTCACTAGATTATACTCCTTGAATAACATTTTCAAACCCTAATGTTTCCGATAACTACTTATACTCTTGCTATCTCTACCACCATGCGATTTGAATTAACAGTTGAATCACTGTTCTAATGCGGTATGACAACTTGAACTGATGTGTATACATACGAAGTTTGACATTGTTGTTGACTGATTGAGTACCTTTAGATCATTTTAATATTTGTATCTATGAAATTGTTGTTAATCAATTTTACAATGTGTTTGACTCTTATTAATAAATCAAAAATTTGGATTTTACCTTTTTGATCATATACATATAGAATCCGTCAGATTGTAAAAAGGCTAAATATGTAACATTAGACTTCACTAATCTGTGTGGATTGGGTTGTCGCATTCATCAACTCATATACTGCTTACAATTGGCTCTTGAAAATGAGCGTGTTTTTGTATTAAAGAATCATCATTCTGGAGACCCATTTCGAGAATGGCTTCATCAGAACATGTTACCACTTTCTGACAAATGCAGTTATTTGGACTCAGATGGTAGATCAGGTGTGTAAACGATGTATTTATCATTAGTTTGTTGTAAATGTCAGACCCCAGTGATTGTCTTGAACTGTTTACTTGAATATTTTTATTTACTTTTCGACAAAACAACACGATACAATAAATCATTGACTAGAACCCATGAAATAACATAAAGCTGTTTACTATCTACGTGAAAGAGCGGGTAAACAAACCTTATTATTGGTAATATTTCATGTTCCATTGCTCCTCCTAATATGGATAAAATCATATTCAATCGCTTTTTACGACTGAGTAAGCTTCTGCCCTAAAAATCATCTATAATGTTTGATTGGTAGGCAGTTGATCTACGAATTTAAACTTATCAAGCTTAATAAATATTTCCATTCCCTTTTTTACTTCAGATAACATCGAATGTCCTCTGGTTCGAAAGGCTTTCACCGATCCTAAATGGTTGCCACATGCTCTCCCGATAGGTATGAATGAAGAATTATTGCGTTTACATGAGGCACCCTTTGTTTGGTTTGCTGGTCAACTAGCAGCCTACATTTTGCGTCCAAAGCCACAACTTGCACAATTGATCAATGTAACTTTGAAGAGCTTTGAAACGAGTGGTGATCCTGTTGTTGGCGTGCATATCAGGCGTACCGATAAGGTTGACGTTGTCAGAATATAGTATGATGCACTTAATTATTCAGAATTTAAACAGTGAATGTTGAGAATGAAAGACACGTTTTCAGTTTTGTCTTTGGATTAAACTACTTTTGAAAACTGGGATGGTCATTCAGAAATCATTATCATCCTGCTCAACAGAATACTGGTTGATAGATTTGGTTGATTTCGATATACCTGCTGATTGAAAAAAGTTTCAGGCTTTTTAAATTTCTCTGAGATTTTTGTGCTTCTTCTGTCGAAGTTCGGACATTTCTCCATTTTGATTTACGCTAAAAATTATCCACAAACATTTATATAAGCACATCTACGTCAAGGCGAATAACGGCTAACCAACGCTCATACAGGAATGGACTGAAAGTGTGACCGCTTTCCACGGTGTCGTATTTGTCGCAGTTTCTCTTGTGTTTTATGTTTCCCTTGCTTTTATTTTTCATTATAGCTGTGGGTTTTTACAATAAATATTGTACCGGCTTATAGGCTGTACTTACTTCTTATAGTCTTACAAAGCTGTTCGTGATCTTGCTGATGTTCTTCAGATAGAGTAGAATTCCCACCTTTGCTGATGTTTAGTACTGATTTTGTATTTGACGTTATTAAAATAACCCATAACTATATATACGAATGTACAGCTTAAGTAAATGATTTCGTCGAAAAGAAAATTTTCTTCGCTGAATTCTATTTTTTCTATTTGACGTAACCTTTAACAGACATACCTTGTTGATATTTTGTATCAAACCATTTTTCCGAAATGCATCCAGTTTCTTTTCCCTGTGATGCTTTAATGTCTTTACTGTTTTGAGTAGTTTTTGTAAATATCATATTTTTGCGTCAATACGTTGTCGCTGCTATAAGTGAGTATTCAACTAGTGTAGTTTGTCTTTCTGCATACTTAGTTTGAAGTTTCTTGTGTTGGTTGAATCTTCAATGTTTTCAATGATTTTTGTCAAATAGTTTTGAAGTTCATATGAGAGAATAGTGTATCAAGCGTCAGTTTGCCAGCTGACTTTACTATAGAAATTGAGTAGAAATATCTAGTTTAAACGTTTTGGTGTAAATACTTCATGAAGAATAAAGTTTATGAAAATATAAAGAGGGTTGAGTTTGAAGCATCTTGTCATTGACAACTATAGTTGAATATTTTCGGAATTGAATGTTCTAATAATCACATCTTGCACTTGTACTCTTTTTTTATAGTTAATTTTGGAGGCTCAGTTTCATAAATTATCTGAGTACATGGAACACGTGGATAATTTCTTTGATTTACAAAGTGTTCATCTCTTGACAATGTCAAAGAGACATGTAAGTCAATAAGATGATCTCAGTTGTATTGAAACAATAAATGAAACTTCGTTAATTAATTGATCACATTTCAATTCATGATTAATCACAATGAAAGTGTTATCCATTATGATGTGTTGTATTTGATCAAATGTAAATTGAATTAAGATGTATTCTGTTCAAGTGAGTTTTTTGAGTTCTAGTTCTTCATTAGTATGTAGTATAGTAGTAGGTAAATGATAGTTGATCAGCTTAACTATGGATCTCAGTGTTTTCCCTAATGATAACAATATATAATTCGTAAAATGGATGCACATATAATTAGATGGCTCAATGACTTAAACAGATTAGATAAGAAGTGAATGATAAAATTGAAATTGAGTACAACTGGAAGGATGAAAATTACATGTAGAAGGCCAAGGTAATTGAGTACAATTTATGTGCATCAAAAATGAACTTACTGATATGCATGGCCATACTTTTCATGATATAAAACGAATAGACTTTTGAGGCACAGAACATGTGCGATGGTATTCTATGGACGACTTTGTAAACCACAAGAACATCAATTCTAATGTAATATAGCGTTTCATGTACGAAATTTAGTGATTTTGGGCAGTTAGAAACAATAATGAATCTCATGGACCTAGGATCATCAAAGCTTCCTTCAGAACGCAGGAAGAGTGCATTATAATGAATGCCATCCATTGCTATGGGCCTACGAACGACTACAATGAATACCTTAAAGATCATTTCTACAATAGGTTACAGTCAATCGTTGAGAAATGCCCAAAAACGGACTTGACCATTTTGGTGGAAGACCTAAATGCCAAGGTTGTAATGAATAACACCGGATATGAGGACATTATGGGACGACATGGAATAGGAGAAAGGAACAAAATTGGTGAGAGACTTCCCAACCTATATACCTTCAACAAACTTATCATAGGTGCCACCATATTCCCACATAAACGTAAATATGTGGAAGATCTAGCAATGACGACGGAGAACGGTGCAAGTGACGGATATGATGCAACAAAAAAGCTATCTGAATACCAAAGAAAGGAGACCTCAGCAAGTGTGATAATTACAGAGGCATCATTCTTCTCCCAATATCAAGAGACGTTTTCAATAGGGTGTCGGTAAACAGAATGAAGGATTCCGTATACGCTCAACTTTGAGATCAACAGGCTGGATTCCATAAGGATCTACCGTGAATCAACCAAATCGCAACACTACGGATGATTGTGGAACAATCAATTGAATGGAATTCATCACCCCACATCAACTTCATTGAATACGCGGAAGCATTTGATATAGTGGACAAGACAACACTATGGAGGATTCTTCGACGTTACGACGTTTTTGTTAAGGTAGTCAACATCATACGGAATTCATATGATGGATTAAACTGCGGAATCGTTCATTGTGTTGTTTACTTGTATCTCCCCATTGTTATCTAGGAATGCAAATGATTAGTCTCTTGTTGTCATATGTGCATCGTGTGCGGACTGCATCGATATTGTCTTAGGTCACAAGCTTGCGGGTACATCCAGCTGACGAGTCCGAAATAGGATGTAACACGCATCCTGGATTTCACTGCTAGCCGAATATGTAACTACTGTTATAAGTCAGTCTTCATGTCATATGATTTCCGTGATTTTAAAACGTTATAATGAAGATGTAATAAGATATTCCTTTAGCAAATCAATCAGATCAAATGCACTTTGTCGATGATTTAACCTACTAGTATCAAAACCTTTAGTTATTCATTCCATTTGAATATGTGTACCTCTGCAAATTGCTAACTAATCTACTGAACATTCCAGTAGGTTTACTGTAGACGAATGTATTATGTTGTGTTAAATTCCCCAGCTAATCAGTACAAAGTTGCACTATATTAAAATCAATCGGTATTCTAAGCAAGATGAACATGACAATTCCAACTGGTTAGTTGTCTGCATGTTTTGATAATGAGGTTTTACAAATATCAAAACTGCTACATTCAGTTAATCTGACTCATTGAGAAACGTAATTCTGACACTTATGTTCATTTATTGTAGTGTGAAGGAAACATGGAAACTTTCATCGGGATGCACTGGCATTATCCTGAAAGCTTTTCAGAATATTAACATACAATGATTCAACGTTATGATATCAGTTCAATAAGAAACAGTAGTGACTTAGTGTTAAATATTAATTAAAGATTATTTGAGAACAATTTGTTAGTAAACATGTAAAGCAAAATGCTGTGCAATATTCACTTGTTATTGTAGATTTGAGGCTGTGAAGTTTTATTGTTTACATTACAGTTCAATCTCAGGTTGACGGTCATTAAAAGTGTGTGAGCAGTGGACATGTTTATTTCAGGAATCGATCTTGGCTCACTTGTCTAAAGATTCGACTTTATTTGTGATGCTGAAATTTACTGAGTTTATTCCATAAGGGAGTCATTGATAAAGTCCTTTAATAAAACAAGATAGTTGTTCTATTCACCCTAGTTTTCCACTGCTGTCTAATTGAGTCTAGACCATAATGCAAACTATGAACTAAGAAGAACTCACTCTATTTTTGTTTTTAAGAGCTCGGTTTGAATGAGTGGGAATTGTGTGTTATGAGAACAGGAAATGTTTCCAATGTTATATTATATCTAGTTGTATCACTTCGTATTCAGACTGACTACTTCATCATCATTATTACTATTATACGGAATGAATCTAATTTGTCATTTTTGAAACTGTTAGGGCATGAATGTGGAGAGATTTGGATCAGTTTCTGAAAGAATCATTGGAAGAAACAATTCTGTTCAGGCTAAGCGAAGTGTTTACTTGTCGACAGATGATCCGAATATTTTTACTCAACTACCCTACAGTTATCCAAACTATACTGTCTATGGTAGTCGAGGTAGATCGCATTCAGCTAATTTGAATATACGGATGTCAGTTAATTCAATGAATAATGCAATTATTGACATCATTGCACTTTCAATGACGGATTTCCTTGTGTGTACATTTTCATCGAATGTAAGTAATATATACATGTTGACTTGTATTGACGACAATATTACACGTTTCCTGTTTTGACTGGGATTTGAAGTAAACAAACAAGTTTGAATACAGAATTCACATTAATTTTTACAGAAGTGAAGTTGTTATTAGTCACTGCCTTACACATTCACAGCCACATTTGGCCAAATTTTGTACAAATGTTACTTTCTATTTTATTGGTACCATGTGGTCTGTTTGATTGGTATATAAACTCAGTATATTTGAACTATAAGGATTCATATTGCAGAAGCTGAGACTGGTGTTCTGGACTTAACTGGCTGGGCTAGGTGGAAAGCAGGACTCTAGGCTGCTCGCACGTGTTTAACGCATCCTTGGTCCGATCGATAATTCACAGCTTCTCATTGACGGCTTTGGGCTATAACAAGTAGAAAGCGAATAATGTTTTGAGGATTCATGTATCAATTCATGTCTGTGATTGTTGTTCCCGACAGAGAATGAAATAACTACACCGCCATTTATGGAAAGTTTATTCGATAAGCGATGCGTAGCAGTTGACATATATATGTATATATGGAGATTTCTGTTTCAATGTGTTTCACAAGTCGTGGAAAACTGTTTTGAATATGTTACCTTTAGAAGCTAGTCACTAGTGAATGCTCACTGCCAATGATTCCCACACTAGCACGATACAGCTGTCCAGTGCTGCCAGGTTTTAATGTCTGTCTAACTTAGATCCGTTGATGATTTTAATGAAACTCAACAATCTTCACCACTTCAAACTGAATGTATTTATTTTAGAGTCTACAATTTCATAAAATTTTATTCAAAATCTTAATCCATAAAAACACAGTGGTTGCAATTCATCTACAAAATTCAATGAAATATTCAGATAATCTCAGTGAATATCCTCATATTTCATATATAATCTTATTGTTATTTTTCTTAGGTTTGTCGTTTAGCCTATGAGTTAATGCAAACACGTCATATGGATTTGGGTGATGCAACACAATTATTTCATTCAATCGATAAGTTATTCCATGAAGAAGATTACGAAAGAATGAAATTCAATGTGATCATTCCAGATATGAAGGTAAATTTGAAGTATGGTGATGTAGTGGAAATTTCCCAAATTAACTGGAACGGTTCAGTGTTAGTAAAACTAGTGCAATCAAGTGAAGATATACATAATAAAAACCAAAAGGCTATGAAAAACGACTTATTCATTGCACCTGCTTACAAGTTGAGACCAATAATAAACATGACTGGATTCAACTGACGAAGTGAGATTGTTTCAACAGACTATATATCACTGTAGATTCAGTTTTACACTGCCATTTTTATTCAGCTTAGGTTTTGGTGTCTAACATTATCCTGCTCAATATTTTATGCACAGCTAATAACTTATATTCACATTCTTATAAATCTGTTGACTTTCACTGATGTATGTTTTAGTTAATTCTTTATTGAAATTGTACGGTACTACCGTAATAGACGTGATTCAAGAAACAACATTGACAAATTAAAGTTGCTGATTGACAAGATGAAAATATTCGTTCTAAAGTTATGATTGTTTATGCGAAGGAAAAAAAGTTGGAACAGGTTCACGGTTCTTACATGTATTTTAATTCAATTGAAGAGTCGAAACACATTAGTGAGTTATGCCTGGAAATGAGTGAATGTTGAAGAAATGCACGAAAATCGAAAGTGATTGTTACGAGCGTTAAGAGAATATAATTACAACGACTTTGGTTAACCTTAGAAAGGTGCTACATCTTTCATGTGATGCTAAAAGACACTCCCGCTTGTATGATGAATCTATTTTCTGAAGGTATCATCAGTCATTAGTGTGGTGCAGTGTGAGTGAAATTGAACTAAGACATTTGTCTGCATATTTGTAAACAAGAGACGGCTGACAAATGAATGTATAGAAAGTGACGAATTGACTAATTGTCGTGATAAGCTTCGGATATCTCTCATCCTAAATGATCTTGATTATTGTGTCCAGTTGATTATTGACATTCCACATCACACAAAAATACTACACGAAACATTCATATAATATATTCCGACCGAAGTAGAGTGGTCACGTAAGATTTGACAGACTACCGACTACTCTCAGATGCTGTAAGTTCAATTACTACATCGACCACACGTGTTAAAGAAACAACAGCTCGACTGGATTACTTTCATTGCTCAACATATAATCACTTACAAAGATAAATCTGTTGAAACTGTACGAAGTTAATTTTCCCGGGTGACTTGATTAGTTTAAGTGACTTAAATATCTAATTAGATGAATAGCTGAAATGAAATAAACCTTAATGTTTGCCGTGAATACCAGACACATTAGTGATAATAATGCATAATTCGAAACTCGTAGATGAGAATCCGAAACGTATCTTGATTGAAGATTTGTAGAACTATGGTCTACTATGATATTAGTACTGCTCTAACAATAGACCTCATCCTAAAATTTTACTTTTGTCATGATATGACTGCCTAATCTATAAGATCTTACGTGGAAATCACATCATCGTCTACACAAACTCACTGAATAGTAACAATAACCAATGCATGATGTAGAACAAGCTTAGACTAGAGACAGAACAATATATTCAATATGAATAAAAGATATAAGATAACATTCAGCAAGGACCACGTCTTCAAGGTCGAGCCATGTCATTCGATCAACTCGAATTAATTCAATTTATTATTCACTCCTCCTTCATCGTTGGGTTTTTCTCCGTGTTAAACGTTGAATGCATATTTCCCACATTTTCTCGTATTAAAACCCAATGCTACTACAGATTGAGTTATTGGATGATATAATGTACACAAAATTCCAATAGACACTTGTATTGCACTGATTTATTCATAAATAAATAATATATTTGTAATATCTTAATAAGTAGAAAATTATATTTTCTGATGTTTCGTAACTTGGTGTAAGTCACTTCTTCAGAGAGTAAACAATCAACTCAATGCTCAATTTATTCGAAATGATCTATTCATATTTCATGTATGGGTATGTGAGCAGACTTAGCAATGTGTTTGAAAGCTAATACATATTTTGCTATTAATAGCTGAACTGGTTTAATACGACGTCATTTTGTGCGTTTAATATAAAGTAGCTCATCGGAGCTGATGGGATTGATAGATACACAGTATAGTGGTTCAACTGGCTCCTCCCATTGTTTGATGATTGACACGCATCCCCATACAACTATCTTCCTAGATCTCTGTCCTTTATATAGTCTCTATAGATTCATTTTGAACAGCTTTGGAATAAACACGAGCATCAGATTAGTCTGTTATCACCATTTAAAATGTATAAGTTAGACAACGTGACTGATCATTATGAGTTAAGCTTCCTAATTGTCTGCGCATATCTCATCTCAATACTTATCCGTTATTGATTTCTGCTTTCTGATGGACAGATAACAAAACTTAATGTTTCCATAAAAGCGTTAACGAGTTTTTCTTGATGATAACTGCAAGTTATCAAACGGTGAACGTGACGTCAGTTTCAAAAAGAATGTGATCATGCTTCCGTGATCAGTAGTATGTCGCGCTCCTGATCGACTAAAATCATGTGCAATAATATCTCTATATACCGCGATTCGTTTAAAATTGTCGTTAATTTTCACGTAATAAACGTTTAACTGCTTCAAACTTCTATCTGATACAACTCTCATCATTACTGTTTAAAATAGTAGTGTTTCTAGTAATTAACTTATTTAGCATACTTCTTTGTGACAATTGTGTATTTTCCAACTACCATGATCTGCATAACTCTATACTTTCGACGCATTACTGGACCAGAAGATATATTGGCAGATGAGAAAGTGACGCACAATAGATCCAAGTGATCTAAATCTAGCTTTTCAGGTGGCAACACTAAGAAAAATTTAGTTGGGGAACATGCGTCACCTAACTACGATAATACAACCCTAGCTGATCAACATACCAACCGCGAAACCGGGATTTCATTCTCCAAATTTTTGAATATTATACGTGATGTGAAAAAAAGCTTAAATGAATAAGTAGGGCACTTTGGTGACAACCTCTCAGAAGACTGAGATATTAACGGAATCACTAATAAAATAGGTACTGATGCCACCCTACAAATGTATGTAGGAAATAATCATAACAGGTTAGATAGTGACAATCACCCCATTGTAGCGGTAAATCAACTCCAAAATAAATAGTTCTGTAAGCACTCGATAGTGATACTGACCGTAGTTCTATTGAACACACCCTAGCCTAAGGCGCTTGATCAATTATTCACACAAATTCACGAGTAAGTAGGCCAAGCTACGCATTCCCCATCTGTGGTCGAACGCTTCTCAACATATCGACCACCTTTCTAAATGTATCTCCAAACTCACTCACTCCTAACTTCTAATTTAACTGGATCGATATTTCTTGATTGTAAAGGTGTTACGACCAACGGTGTTGTCAAACTCTGAATACCTGTGGCACCTTTACTAGTTGAAAGGCCACGAAGAGACACGAAACACAAGTAACAATAAGGAAACATGGAGCTTTGATGCTATCAAGCAATGAATCGTGTTAGGGATGCAGAGGAATATACCAATAATTATCATGTTAAGTCTAATGGTGTCCTTGGACTTTAGATGGACATTCTCTATTGGCCAATATTTGTTTCACTTGTTAAATATTGTACAAATGTTGTTTTCTATTTTATGGTACGATTTGGTCTGGTTGATTGGTATATAAATAGAGTATGTCTGAAATATAGTGATTCATATCTCAGAGGCCATGACTTGTGTTCTGAACTCAGCTGGCTGGGCTAGACATGGAAGCAGGACTAATCAGGACTCTAGGCCGTTCGTGAGTGTTTTAAGAGTCACTGATTCGATCTATAATACACTGCTCTCTAAACTTTTCAGTCAAGGACATAACAATTGGCACGGGGTAAAAATCGACTCAACTTCAAGTCATAACAAATCGAAACTCTTCATCGCTTTGCATCCTGTGCAAATGCATATGTACCACACAACACAAAACAGACTAATAATGAAAGACGAGATCCTAGCCACAAAACAACTCGCGGCAATAAACCGGGCTTGAATAAAAAACACTTTGTCACCCTACTTAAGGAATTTAAGACAGAATCACTAAAAATCAGCGCCAAATATGTGACTGCCGATATAAAGAGTAAACTAACTGTGCTTATTAAAGACATTAACGCTCTAATTACATTGGTTGTCATCCAGTCGATAGTTTGCCACTATTCCATCACGCTGCCCCATCTTTTTAGAGATACTTTGAGAAATGTCCGAAAACCCATGTCAAGAACAGCATGAACCTACAACGCAACATACCTGAGTACAATCAACCAAATACATCGGATAGCACGACATAAACGAATCTAGTAAGAAATATAGGGAACAGGAACTGAATTTGTGACACTTATAAAGTGTACAACGAAATATTTTCGTACTTATCACAGTAAACAGGTAGATGTTCATCTAGACTTTCCATCGTGTTTTTTAGGTAACGATGGTCTGTTCACGCTCTACAAATAACAGAATGACAACAGAAAACGATCGCCCAAGTTGCTAAGCACATTTACTATACTAGATGTAGAACCAGGTATAAATGGTTACACACTGAACCCAGAAAAGTATGTCGTATTAATAATAACATTTTCAGATAATAGCCTGTTATGTGGCGCATGCCAGTTTACAGGCAAGATCAAATTGCTGCACAAGATATAGTCCTTACTGAAGTGGGTTACTCAGTTAGGTAAATATGTCATATGGTTCGTTGTTTATTGTACTACGGGGAAAACACTTCTCGCATATGAAGGCAAGTAATATTATTAATGGTCGTATTGTGAACATGAAAATCAGCGCGCTTTATGAAGGTCGCGTAGCGACGTGTAACTGATTGTCGACATTAAATCTACGTAATGCTGAGAGCTTCTGTTAACCGTGACCTTATATCCTTCTAAAACATCTAAAGCATCAATGATGGCGCAGGGCAAAGTCGCCCTTTCCACAGGTGTTTTCGGTGTTTTATTTTAAGACGGCTGAAAACGTGAGCAATAAAAAGAAAGGACGAGAAATAAATGAAATAATTTTCATGATTACTGAGTTATATTAATTTCGGTAGGAATAGTTATGGTATGAATTCATGGTCTAATTCTCTTTTCTCAAGATACTTTTTAGGCAGGAGAATTCTCATTACTTACTTACGCCCGTTAATCTCCATGGAGCATAGGCCGCCCACCTGCATTCTCCAACTCAC